TTAAACAATATAACGTAGATTAGATACAATACAACCAAAATAAGATCTGTTATCTTGTTTGAGATTATAGAAACACTATTTATCTCCACAAATATGTTTGATTTGGGATAAAGATTCAAACTTCAAATATCTGCTAAGCAGTTTGCAATTGTAACTTAGGCCTATTTACCTTTTGGACATTTATTATGACAGACTCTGATGACGTCATCCAATCTTACAGACAGTCAAAATGATATTTTCATTTATCCATTCCTGATGCATCGTGTTGCTGCTGCAGCATAAACATATCACAACAAAGTGCATCTATACACGCCTTAAATAATCTGCCAGAGCCCGAGACGGAACTTGACGATATCCCGCCTATCCTCGGGCCGGGCCGGGCCCTTGAACTGGAGACGTGCACTCCCAACACAATATAGAGTGCGGCGCGGGACTAGATTTGATGGCCGAGTGCGAGCGCGGGCGGTAATGCACTCGTTTGCACTCGCAAACGATTCGCAGGAAAATAGAAACTATGAATAAAAAAACGAATATATTTTTATTCATCTGTTGCAGAAAAGCAACAAGAACAACTAAAACAAAATAGAAACGATTTACAGGCCAGAGTTTCTATTTATATTATGTTTGCAGTTGAGCGATGTAGCCAATCACAGACATATAGTTGATTTCTTGAACGCAATGGCCAATCAGAAGCATTTAAGATAGACTCCCCTCACCGCTCAAAACTGACTTTTTGTTCAGTGCTGAATTCTGCATGTTGGCAAATCCTCTAATTATAACAAACAAAGTGTAGATATTATGAAAGATTCATTGTGCATGTCAGCTTCATTGATAATAACAGAGATGTGTGAGATCGCGATGAACTGTCAGCTTTTTAGGAATTATTAAGGGAGCGCACTTTGCGCGCATTCAGTCATGCCAGACCAGGCACGCAGTAGCCTGCTTGCTTTTATGTTAAATTAACAGTGGTTTGTGTGTTGTTAAAGGTGCATAGCGCAGGTTTCTGAGTTTTTGCAGAACTATGCCCCCTCTGGCGACAAGCGAAACTGCAACCAGAGATGTGCATGCTCATGGATCACACGCACACGCACGCTTGCACGAGCTGTTCATAACCAAAAGAGCATCAGCCGCACAAATCAGTCATAATGTCTTCAGAGGTAATAAAGTTATAAATCTGCAAGTCATTTTAAATATATGAAAGGAAAGGCATTTGAGTAAATTACACACTTGTGTGAGGGGAAAACGGGGGTAGTAGAAAAGTTAGTTTTTTGTTTCCATCTATCTCCATGTATGTTGAACTGTTTTATGTGTTTACTGTATCCACTTATGAGTGTATTATTATGGAATCACGTTCATGAACAATATAAGTTATTTATTATTTATTTATTTATTTAAAAGGGACAATGCATGTGAATGAACATAGCTTTTCAGCAATGTACATATGCCAAAATTAGCCCCCAGGCTATTTTACATTTGTAGTCCCATGTGAGGTCATCAAATTACTGAACAATTACTGAATAAAGTCGTAGTTTTTGTTATTTTTGGACCAAAATGTATTTTCGATGCTTCTAGACATTCTAACTAACCCACTGATGTCACATGGACTACTTTGATGATGTCTTTATTTCCTTTATGGACAAGGACAGTATACCGTACATACATTTTCAATGGAGGGACAGAAAGCTCTCGGACTAAATCTAAAATATCTTAAATTGTGTTCCGAAGATGAACGGAGGTCTTACGGGCTTGGCACGACATGAGGGTGAGTCATTAATGACAATTTTCATTTTTGGGTGAACTAACCCTTTAACTGCATTAAGAGGGAAACGTGATACTGTTCCTCAAGCGGCTGGCTCCTAAACGGAGTGGAACTTTGGGTTTATGCCTAAACACTTATAAACACACAGAAATATGCCAAAATGCCCAGCTTGCTGAGTATTCCCCTGAACAATGTCTTAAGTAAACATAAACGGTTGGAAAATAAGTTGCATGTGTAAAAGTATATTGAATCCGTGCTTTCGGTCTTAAAGTGACATCAGCCTAATATTCCTGCTGCTCACTGTTTCATTAAAGGGATAGTTTAACTAAAAATGAAAATTCTGACATAATTTACTCACCCTCAGGTTGTTTCAAGTCTGTATGAATTCCTTTCTTCTGCTAAACACAAAAGAAGATATTTTGAATAATGTGGGTAATAGGGGTGGAACGGTACACAGAAGTCACGGTTCGGTTCATACCTCGGTTCAGACATCACGGTTCGGTACGATTTCGGTACAATGGAGTGAAAAGCAAAGCAAAAATGCAGAAGGCATTTTTATAAATGTCTTAAACCTTGTATTTTTTTAAATAAGTTTTATTAATAAAGGCATAGAACCAGTTTATTTGTAGTGCACTGACAGTAGTTTTATATAATTAGTTTATTAATTAAATTATTAAAAAGACGAAAAGACCTTGAGATATGTTTGGTAATTGTACCTGAATGAATTTAAAATTAATTTGCTATTTCAGATCAAGATATTTGTTTTCCTTCATTTTAATTAACTAACTTTATTCTCATCTGAATTATAAATAATTGATTTCCGTATAAAATAATACTACCATAAAAACTTTTGTTAACAGTTGTAGGTTACAGTTTGACAAGAGTTTAGAGTGTGACAAAAGCACAATGTTGTGTTTTATTGCCAGTGTACACAAATATAAGTAAACAATTTGCAGTTTTAATGATGTCCTGTATGAAAAAAATGACGGAGTATGTTTTTACGTTTCCACTGTTCGATCGCCCGTGCCTCTCTCTCACACACACACACACACACACACACACACACACACACACACACACACACACACACACACACACACAGTTCATCGCGCGATTCGCGCCCGCGCCTCTCTCTCTCTCTCGCACGCGCGCACACACACACACACACACACACACACACACACACACTGTTCATCGCGCGATTCGCGCCCGCGCCTCTCTCTCTCTCGCGCGCGCGCACACACACACACACACACAGTTCATCGCGCGATTGGCGCCCGCGCCTCTCTCTCTCTCTCTCGCACGCGCGCGCACACACACACACACACTGTTCGATCGCGCCTCTCTCTCTCGCACACACACACACACTGTTCATCGCGCCTCTCTCTCTCTCTCTCTCTCTCTCTCTCTCTCTCTCTCTCTCTCTCTCTCTCTCTCTCTCTCTCTCTCTCTCTCTCTCTCTCTCTCTCTCTCTCTCTCACACAGACACACACACTCCTGCATTGCAATCTTGATCGCAGCCTGTTCATTGCTGCGTTCACAGTCACACCAAAAGCGAATAGAGCGAAATTTATCGCTATTTAAGAGGTTTTTTTTTTTATTTGTACCGTGTATTCTGCGTGCAAATTCGTGCACCGAACCGTGACGCCCGTACCGTTTCGGTTCAATACGAATACATGTACCGTTCCACCCCTAGTGGGTAACCAAACGGTTAATGGACCCCATTGACTTCCATTTATGGAAAAAAAAATACTATGGAAGCCAATACCCATCAACTGTTTGGTTATTGACATTCTTCAAAATATCTTCTTTTATGTTCAACGGAACAAAGAAAGGCTGTAATTTATGACATAATTTTCATTTTTGGGTTGAGGTTAAACAAAATCAGCTGCAGAGAAGCAATATGGTCAGGACCCAGTGATTTATTCACATCTAGATCTTTTTGTCACAAAATACTCTGAAACTGGTTGAGGATCCAACTGCAGTCGTTTATTACAGAGATTTGGAATCATAATCCATAAAACAGGCAACAGGTCAAAACACAGGACAGATAATACAAAGAGACAACAGAGCAGAAAAAGAGTCAAACAAGGAAATCCGAGAAACCGGGCAGAAAATGAAAACCAAAACATGGATAAGCGGAGGGAGAGCTCTCAGAAATGCAGTGCGACACTAACAAGACTTTGCAAAGAGTGAGTGAAAACACAGGGCTTATAAAGAGGGTATGAGTGGCAAAGAGCTGCTAAGCTTTTAAAGCTGTAAAGCTGTTAAGCATTTGCTGTTTGTATGCAATTTTATTAGAATATTTTTCAATGCTAAAAAGTCTTTAATATCTTAAAGGGTTAGTTCACTTAGATCATTTGCTGTTTGTATGCAATTTTATTAGAATATTTTTCAATGCTAAAAAGTCTTTAATATCTTAAAGGGTTAGTTCACTTAGATCACTCCTCCATAGGCTTTTTAAGGGATCGAAACTGGCCGACGTACAACACAGAAGCTTTGCGCAGTTCCACTACGTGAAATCTCGAGGCCCACAGGGAAGGAAATGAGTAGTTGAATAAAGTCGTTATTTTTGTTTGTTTTTTTGCGCATAAAAAGTATTCTCGTCGCTTGATAAACTTAAGATTGAGCCACTGTAGTCACTCGGACTATTTTAACGATGTCTTTCATAACTTTTGGGCCGTCTATACATCTAAAACAAGTTATTTAAAACATAGATTATGATTTAATAGACTATTGTTGCCACTTTTACCTACATCCCTCATATATTCTAACTATTATTTTGACCTTCCCCAAAGGTTCCCCTTGTCAAACAATCAAACTTTACTACTAATTTTAGCAAATTATCCAGCTTTTGATTAATCTGAATGTCAAATGATTTACTTGTAAGTGATGGATCCGAACACAAACATTTGCTAATTAGAAAATGTCGGGCAACGGGTTTTCTCATGTTTCTGTAGAGTAGATAATTGGGTGAAACTCTTTCCACATGAAGAGCACTGGTGCGGTTTCTCTCCAGTATGAATTCTCTGGTGTGTTTTTAAATTGTTGGATGTAGTGAAGGTCTTCCCACAGTCAGAGCAACAATGAGGTCTCACACCAGTATGAACACTCTCATGCCGTTTTAAATTCTGCAGTCGTGAAAAACCCTTTCCACAAAATGAACAAAAGTGAGGCTTCACACCAGCATGAGTTTTAAGATGTGTTTTTAAGCTTGATGCCAAAACAAATGTTTTCTCACACTGATCACAGCTGAATGATCTCACTCCCGAGTGACGGCGCAGATGAGTGATGAGAACGCTTTGGGATGTGAAACTCTTTCCACACTGAGAGCATGTATAAGGCCTCTCTCCAGTGTGAATTCTCATGTGCACATTTATGTCCTTTTTGCGACTGAAACTCTTTCCACACTGAGAGCAGGTGAATGGTTTTTCTCCAGTGTGAATTCTCATGTGCACATTTACGTCCTCTTTGCGACTGAAACTCTTTCCACACTGAGAGCAGGTGAATGGTTTTTCTCCAGTGTGAATTCTCATGTGCACATTAAGGCCTCCCTTATGAGTGAAACTCTTTCCACACTGAGTGCATGTGAATGGTTTTTCTCCAGTGTGTTCTCTCGTGTGTCTGTTAAGGGTTGATTTACATGTGAAACTCTTTCCACACTGAGTGCATGTGAAGAGATTTTCTCCAGTGTGAGATTTCATGTGTTTATTAAGGTCTGATTTGTGCACGTAAAACATTCCACACTCAGAACAGGTGAAAAATTCTTTGTCTCCAGATTTTTCAGCTTGTTTTTGTGTGAAATTCTCTTCAGTCTGTGAAACAACTGCATTTCCATCTTCATTTTTGAAATGATGAGGTTTTTGTAACAGATGTTTGTCTTCATTTTTATACGTCAGTTCTCCATCTTCATTAGTGAAATGATGCCATTTGTCTTTATTCACTTCCACTGGGTCTAAAATCAACATATTAAATAATAAAATCCCCAAATTCAATCAAAGAAGGAAAATGAGAAACGAAGAAATCAAGAATTAATTTTTAATGCAGCACAAATCTAGTTTACTACTGAGTCTACTAGTATCTAGTTCTAGATGTATTGTTATATACTTATGAGAACGTCTCGGTTATGTATGTAACCCTTGTTCCCTGAAGGAGGGAACGGAGAAGTAGTCGACGTGTCAACTGATTGGGATCACGCTTAGAGAGCCTGTCATCTTCGAGTACTGTTAAAACGAGCCAATGCAATTGGCGTGCGTGAAATTAATCACACACTCTGCCCCAGCGGCGCGGGTATAAATACGGAAGTGGATGCACGCACTAGTTGTTTTTCGCTGAGGAGCCGAGCGTAACTCGGAGTCAGCGGTGGTCCAGCAATAGTGGCGACGGGACTACGTCTCCATTCCCTCCTTCAGGGAACGAGGGTTACATACGTAACCGAGACGTTCCCTTTCAGTCGCGTGTCGACTGATTGGGATCCCAATTAAAACGCCATCTAGTGCTGTTACCTTCCAGTGCCTAGACAAAAGCCTTCTGATCTTCCCGCAACTGAGGCGGGGATGGAAGGGCTTAGGCAGGGAAGTCACTGCTGTTCCTACAGGACCACTGGGAAAGCGTTCCCTGAACTAAGGAAGGAAGGGACGCTGCGGAAGCCACATCCTGCCCGAAGGGAGGTAACGTGTAGAATACACATATGAACTGGGCGGATGACCGGGCAGTACAACATATGGAATGTCCATGGGGTGGCTCCAGCCTATGACTGGGGGGTGACTCAACCGGACAGTGACGGCAGAGCAGGCTCTGCCAAGGGAAGACACGGGCTCGCCGCAGGGAGCCGTACTGTGGAAGAATACACATATAGGATCGCCGTAGGGATCACAGCATATGGACCCAGCCTACACAGGTTCCAACAGTGGATACAAGTGATAGGCCTGGCTTCGGATGTTCCGCCACGTCCGTTGCCGAAGGGTATGGAGGAACTCGACAGGGTTCGGCTAAAAAGGGGGAACTCAACTGGAGCAAGAATTGCGCACGTATCCAGTCCATAGGAGGGGAATGGCGCAGCAAGCCGACACAACGAAACGGGCTTACAGTGAAACTGGCTTCATGTGAAGGGAGCCCACAGGAAGCAGCGGTTCGACTAAGGTGTCGCCCAGCCCCCGACTCTAGAATATCTGTCAGCGAAGCACTCTGTGTCAACGCCTAAGCGGGAGCACACAGTCATTTAAGAGGAGCTCACCACCTAAGTGGACATGCTGCATCTAGGGAATTCCACCAAGATGAGGGCAGACACATTTTCAGTGGGCCAACCTCACTTGGAAACAGCCTCCCCTCTCTGCTGATTTCCTTAACAGATAAGAGCTGGTCTGAGGTCCTAAGGCTTGAGTTCTGTGCACGTAACCCGCAATGAAGCGAACGGACAGAGAAAGCCAGGGCTGGGTCTGCCTCCTCCAGGGCAATGCTTGCAGGCTCACCACCTGGTCCCAGTTTAAGGGAGAGGTAGGAACCTTGGGCACATATCCAGGCCGGGGTCTCAGCTAGTGAGAGTTAGCCGGCCAGAATTCCAGGCACAAGTCGTTGACCGAAAGCGAGCAAGTCCCTACCCATGCGAGACCATGCGAGCAGGAGAACTGTTTAAAAACAGAATTTTTAACTCACTGCCTGCAGTGGCTCAGGGCCGGTCTCTGCAGTGCAGTAGCACCAGAGATAGGCCCAAGAGGATAAAGAGGGGCGCAGGGATGACCCTTGCTCCCTCAAGAACCTGACGATCAGGACGTGCTTCCCATGCTTCTGCATATGATGTTCGTCATCAAGTTTAGGGTGAAGGAACAGCCTACTCCAACCCAACGCCAAATAACTGAACGCTCTCAGGATCTCCTCACAGAGAGAAGACTCGTTCAACGAATAGGTTCCACTTCTACCTTAGCGAAGCACACCTGCCTTATCTTAAGGGGGTGCTTGCAGAAGTGATGGTCTCTGCCACATATCCTTGTGGTAGCCACCTGAACCTCCCCGTCCAGTTTTTTTAACGCGGGTGCCATCATGCCCCGTCCTTGAAATGTATTCAGGGGAAGTCAGGAAGGCTGTCGAGGGAACTAGATCTGGTTGGGCCAATAAGGGGAAACTATCAAGACATGTTCCACTCCTGACTTAGCACAGTAGGTGAAAGCGACATGCGTGCACAAGACAGGAGCACTGCTCAACACTAGATGTGAAGATCACTGAGCTTCAGGAGCATTTCTGCTCAACACCTGAGTGGGATGAAATTCACTGAGCTTCAGGAGCATTTCTGCTCACTGACTTAAGCAGCGCCAAAACGATAATGAAATCGCATAGCCACTTTCTTAAAAGGCTCACTGGGGAACGCATTTCTGCGGGGCCCCGGGGTCAGCTGAGAGCCAGTGTCTGTCCAAGGGATGTCCGCTCAGACAGAAACACAACTGGCAGAGGGACGAGTCTGGAGAGGCAACAGATGTAACTGTGTGGCCCCGAAGTGGTCCCTGCCCAGCTGGACTGCCAGGGGATGGAGTCTCCACTCTCCCTGGCCATAGCTGTCGTGAGGCTCGGTGGGGGCACGATTGAGCTGGCCGGAAGAATTTTATAGTGGAATGAAGCGATCTCAGAAGCTTCTGACTCCAAGGAGGAGGTGACGGGCGAGTTGTGACATGCGAGGGAAGCTTAGCGCAACGGTCGCGATGTTATCTTTTCAGACCAGTACCAGCTCGCTGAGCAGCGGTGGCTCAAAGTGAGGTGAACTGCCAACTCGAGGTAACGAATACCAATGCAGTCGGAGGTCGCCCAGGTCTCCGTTAAAGCATGCGGTCTTCATATGGAGGAAGCCAAGCGGCTGACTGCCATATGCCCCAGGAGCCTCTGAAAATTTTGAGTGGGACCCTTTCTCACTTCTAGCACTAGCTTAACACACTTTTCTTGAAGAGACGTGTTGGACCGAGTCCTTCTCCTGAACTGAAAAAGAGATACTCAGCCCGTGGGCGAGATTACTCTCTCCCAGTTGATCTGAAGACCCAACTGGCTATGGAGCACTCGAAGGGTAGGACTTGTACTGATACTTCGTACCCTCGACGCAAGAACACAGAATGGTCTATGGAGCGGAAGGAAAGAGATCTGAAGTACTGTCCTTCAGGTCAAACGCTGCAGGCCAACCTTGGGTACGGAGCATTTGAAGAAGCATTTCTGTGTAGTAATTGAACAGAGGCTTTCGAAAAAGGGCCCGTTTCAATTGACACAGGTCCAAGATGGCCATAACCCACCACATATCTAGGGTACAATGAAGTACGGGTTTATAGAAACCGGTCTTCATATCGGCTGGAGGAGAGGCTACATCGCGTCCTTCCCAGTAGGACTGCGACGTGCGCACACAGGACAGGAGCAGCGCTCAACACGTAAGTGTGATAAATATCACTAATCTTAGGAGCATCTCAGCTCAACACCTAGGTATGATGAATATCACTTCAGACTAGACGAGAATCCCCCCAAAAAGAAGCGACCGCCGGACACAGGTGCATTGAAACGACTGATTGGTCCATTACAGAGGGACCAGCACGTTCAACAGGAATTCCATCGGCTGCGGTGTGATGGAGGAGTGAGGAGCCCACAGGGAATGGTTACCGGGCAAGACATCCATCACTATCCTCCTATCACCCATCCCACATGGAACTCTGGGTTGGGGCATGGTAATTGGGACCCGCGCTTCGCGGACGAAGGCGAGTCTCGATCTCAACACTGCGACAGTTATATTCCCGCAATGGGAACATGTACCGTCCACAACATACGTGTGTGCTGTAAGCCCAAACACGTGATGTAACAATTGTGTCCGTCAGAGAGGAAAAGGGAACGACCACATCCAGAAACGCACAGGTGGAATGACATCTTGAAAAAGACGCAAACGCACCCGTTTTGCTCTTTCAGGAAACAGGACCCATCACCAGTGCCGGAGCACACAGGGGAATGACCGCGACAACACAAAACAGTGAACTGAAACAGTGAAGCACTCACTTTTCCGCCCACTAACCAGCCGTCAACACACACAAACCTTTAGAAATTTGTTGCTGTTAAAACAGTAGTTGAGAGCTCAAAGCTCACGATCACCGCTGCACTCGCGCTGTAGAAACCACCAGCACTTGGAGAGTCTTCCAGAAGAATACAGACACACTCGCTCGTTGTAAACAACAGCACTCTTCAGAGACATCAAATGATCGGCGGAGTGTGTGATGCATTTCACGCACACGCCAATTACATTGGCTCGTTTTAACAGTACTTGAAGATGACAGGCTCTCTAAGCGTGATCCCAATCAGTCGACACTTCGACTACGTCAAACGTGAGCGACTGAAAGGGAACCAGAAATATAAGAGGTTTCTTTGTGAATTTAGTTTATGTCATTACATTGTTTTTGGCATGAGAAATCATTAGAGATTTTATTCTTGTTTTATGCTGTCTGTAGAGGACACCAGGACTCAGTTATTAAGCAAATAAAATGGCATAAGACATGTAGGCGAAAACAATGTTTTACTTTTTTTTCATTTACCAATAAATATTTAGGTTTCAGGCCATTTTAACCAAACTTTGTATAAAGATGATTCTCAACTATGTTATGAAATATATAACAGTATGATTTGATAAACTATTTTACTTTATGTAAAATTACTTTGTGTAAAATTGCCATAAATGGGTAGTCCCATTCTATTCAATGTATATAATTTGAATATGAATGTGTTCTTGTGGCAAAACAAATGGGAGTAATAACTTGAAAAAAGTTTCATAAGAATATCTCATATTTCATAGGAATACTGATTTAAAATTTCTTTCCCTTTTCAATTGTTGTGTCTCCCCACAATGCCTGATAAACATGCTGTAAGTCCTGTTGTCTCTACAAAGGACATGTATGAAATCAGTGCCCTGTTTCATAATATTTGGAATATATTTAGAATATTTAGTTCATATTCTGATTGGAAACCCCATGACGTTGAGATGTTTATTTATGACAAACAAATGGAAAATTACTCAGAAATAAATAAACTCAGACAAACAAAATATTATCATATTTTCAGAAGAGTGCTAAATTTGATCATTCAGTCAATGTCAGTCATTTTTAAAGACCAAGGAGTGGGAGTTGTAATGGTAAAACCTCCAAACGTTTGGTATCTCTGAAAAGCCCTGAATGTGCTCTTTACAGGACTGTGACATGAATGATCTCAGAGAAATTCGCTAAAATATAATGTCCTCTACAGAGGATAAGGTCTATGCCTGGGTCTCAGGAGGATTTGTGAGTTTTCATCTTAATGTTCCTCATCAGTCATTAAAGAGAATGAAGGAAAACACCAACCTATTTGTTCCTCTGTATCTTCATCTTTTATTCTGCAGGGTTCTTCCTTAATCTCCATGTTTACAATAGTATGTCCGTAGTTTCTCCTGGAGTAATTCCTCCTGCTTGCTTCTTCTTCTCCTGTGGAAAGATGTGAATATTCACCAATTGGTGAACATTGGCTCTCAGTCTTTATTCACCTTTTTTTCTCATAGTTTCTCAATAGAATTCATAAAAATATTGAATAGAATATCATATCTCTAATAGGGGCACAGTGTAACGCAGTGTTATAACAGCCGCACTAGTTAGCGAAGCATTAAAGAACAATCTAAACTGTTAAATAACTTTTCTTATGGTTAAAGGTGCCATGTGGAATGTCTGCCAAAAAATAAAATTCATATTCCGCATATTCCATACCAGATGGGGGCAGTATAACTCCAGAAAGTTGGCCTACTCTAGTCTGTTTTTTAGTTTCGGTTTGTTAATCTTCTAAAAACCGTCAAATCGTCCGCTTTGTCCCGCCAAAGCCTATTTTGATCGGTGAGTGATGTAGAATAGAATGACTGCTGCGCTTGACAGGGCGCATAACGAGCAGAGAGAGAGAGAGAGCGCCCCGGCCGCGCGCGCGCACTCTCACGTCTTCAAACAACACGAGCGCTGTCCTCCTGCTCTCTCTCTCCCTCGTGCATATTAATCAAATCAATTGACACGATAGTAAGGCCGCAGTTCATTTGGATATTTTAAGAGATTAGAGACTCAATGAACAACATCTCAACACTAAATTATAAATGCCGGTCTCATATAGACGCGATTGACATCAGGTTCAAGTACGCCCACAAGCCGTGCGAGTTATTCGTGTACTGCAGTTTGGCTGGTGGTTATGTATGTTGCCCGCATACCGCCTCCCATGGCCGAAACTGGTATTACGACACGAGTCGGGCCGGCGCTAGTAATTTAGCATGCTAATTTAGGTTTATATCTCGGCAGCACTATAACTTGTCAATTTTTGAATGACATCATTGCACTTATTTCTTCTCATTCTTTTGATGCGTGTAGCTCATTTTTTGGATAATTTTACCTCAATTTTTACATAGGGCACCTTTATTGTTCAGTGATTACAAAGATTTAAAATTTGGCACATTTTTTTCTCTATACAGTTTGATATGGCGACTAGTAAGTAAATACACAAAGTGTATTTACTAGTCTGTTTTACAACTAGCCCCGCGATAGTTCCCTACATCCCCACCCCTACATTAAAAACTGTTTACCAGGTTACATTTAACTTCATGACCAATGTTTCATTTTGCCCATTTAGCAGATGATCATCACACTTACAATCACTCTCAATTATTCAGCTTTAGTGTTATTCAACTCAGTGTTTTAGTCAAACAACCGTTTAGAAACAATTAGACTCCTCTAAGGTCCGTGGACCTATATGTACGGATTTTGCTGTGATAGCTGATTTTTATGTTGCTCTTACGTTATATAAGATTTACACGCATTAAAAACTCTGTTAACCAGGATTCATTTGTTCATTACATAAAATGAAAACACAACTCATAATCTTCACAAATTGTAATGTGGAATAACGAGTTTACGTTTCACGCGCGTAATGAACAACATCAGTCGTAATTCATTTCGATTTATTTTCGATTTATTTTTTAATTTACTGAGTGATTCAGTAAAATAACTGACACGTTTAGTCGTTTAGATTTCGATTTCTCCTATTAAATGATAAAATGAATGTACCCACCACAGTCTGAAAACAGCTCTCATGTTTATGTTCCCTTCCCTCGCTCAATTCTCTTCTTCTCCTAGACTCGGATGTGTGTCATTGCTTCGGTTGCTCGAGCGCCTCTACCGGCGGAACTCAGAATTCTTTACATTTATATCACAGGAAATGCGTCGCGGTAAAGTGAAAGTGAAAGTTGCACATTCATAGAGATGTTACACCAAGTTATTCTAGCCAATCTTGAAAAGTTAGGAGGAAACAGTATTATTTAAACTCCAAAATGAAATAGAATAGATCTATATCTGTGTGATTTCTCAAATGCATGTTCCTTTATGAAACTCTTTACACGGTTTTGCATTACATTAAGTCAACAGTTATGGTTCTGAAAACAAGCAACAAGTTGAAAGAGTCCAGAAGGTAAGTGGGCTACATTTGCAAACTCCTTAGCAGACATTTGAAGTTTGAATCTTTAGACTGTATCCCAATCAAACATATTTGAGGAGATAAATAGTGTTTCTATAATCCCTTGGTTGTTTTGTATCGAATCTATGAAAGTTAGAAAGTTTAACATGGTTTCCGCCAGTAGAGGCGCTCGAGCAACCGAAGCAATGACACACATCCGAGTCTAGGAGAAGAAGAGAAGTGAGCGAGGGAAGGGAACATAAACATGAGAACTGGAACACAGCCGTTCATTCTGCTCTAAATCTGCTGTTTTTCAGACTGTGAGTACATTCATTTTATCATTTATTAGGAGATCATTAGGAGATTTTATCATTTAGTGAATCACTCAGAAATTAATCGGCTGATGTTGTTCATTACGCTCGTGAAACGTAAACTCGTTACTGACTGTTTTTTCACATTACAATTTGCGAAGATTATGAGAGTTGTGTTTTCATTTTATGTTATGAAACCTGGTCAACAGTTTTTAATATAGGCTATGTTAATCATTTCTAATGTAAGAGCAACAAATATCAGCTAGAGGAGTTAAATTGTTTCTAAATGGCTATTAGAGCAAAACAGTTAAAGCTGAATAATCTCGAGTGATTGTAAATGTGATGATCATCTGCTAAATGAGCAACAACGACCACAATTCACTCCTTCAGTCAGTGAAGCTCCCACAGCCGTTCATGAGAGTTTAAATGCTGGGGAATATTCCCATCTTCCCACAGGAGAAGAAGAAGCAAGCAGGAGGAATTACTCCAGGAGAAACTACGGACATACTATTGTAAAGATGGAGATTAAGGAAGAACCCTGCAGAATAAAAGATGAAGATACAGAGGAACAAATAGGTTGGTGTTTTCTTTCATTCTCTTTAATGACTGATGAGGAACATTAAGATGAAAACTCACAAATCCTCCTGAGACCCAGGCTTAAACTTTATCCTCTGTAGAGGACATTATATTTTAGTGAATTTCTCTGAGATCTTCATACATGTCACAGTCCTGTAAAGAGCACATTCAGGGCTTTTCAGAGATACCAAACGTTTGGAGGTTTCACCTTGACAAATCCCTCTACTTGTTGACACTGACTGAATGATACAATTTTTGAAAATATTTTGTATTTATCATTTAAACAGTAATTTTCAAATTGTTTGTCGTAAATAAACATATCAGAAAAACTTTATGGGGTTTCAAATCAGAATAGGACTTTCTTTTACAAAACAGGGCATCGATTTCATGCGTGTCCTCTGTAGAAGACATCAGAAATTATACATCAATAATCCTATGAATTATGAGATATTCTTATGAAAATGGTGCCAAGTTATTACTCCCATTATTACACTTCTTTTTACATTACATGTTGCCACTAGAATACATTAATATGCAAATAATTACATTGTATAGAATGGGACTACACATTTATAGCAAATTTACAAACATATTGCCTAAAGTAAAATAGTGTATCAAATTATTCTGTTATATCTTTCATAACATAGTTGAGAATCATCTTTATACAAAGTTTGGTTAATTATAGCCTGAAACCTAAAAATGTATTGGTATATAAAAAAAAAAACAACAACCAAAGAAACAATGTTTTGTCTATACATGTATTATCTATTATCATGCCATTTTTTTTTTTTTTAATAACAGTCCAGGGGTCCGTTCTTCGTACCTCACTTAACCTGTTAGCCAGCACCCCCACTTTAATAATAATAATAATAATAATAAATTAATAAATGGCATACTCAAACTAAAACAGATGCAGTTCATGAACCCTTTGCACTAAACTCATAATTATGGTCCCATTTGAAAGCAGACACTTGACAGTTTATTGTAAATGCAAAATTAATTGTTCTTATAATGAAATATACTGTATGTTATAAATAGCCTATAGCTTCAAAGTTTTGTAAAGTTATTATGAAATATCCAACATAAGAAAGTTGGCATCTAGATTGAATGATTGATTTGTTTATTTAAGTGTCAACCCTCATGGGCTTATTAGATACTACAGTAATAATTTCACAAATACCTCCAAGTAGCCACGTGACATAACACAGAACCCAACATAGCATAACTAAACCACTAAAAATAAGTACACAATAGAGAATGCTATTTGAAGTGCACTGCAGCTAAAGCCACATGCCTGACCATGTTATATTTCAAATCTGAAGATAAGTCTAAAACTGTGAATTTAATTAAATGTTTTTCAAGATCATGTCATGTGACTTTATTTTGAGAAGACTCTAAAATGCTAAATGGTGTTTATTGCCATTTTCTAAGCATCCATTCAGTGGATTGTCTCTTTTGTTTTGTGGTGCAAACGAACACCATTCAGTTTCAGTCTTCCCTGCACACATTCACAGCTCTCCGGCCCGGTTATGGCTATAATTATTCTTTTCTTTTGTCTTCATTACAATTACTCACGACTTTCTATTCACACTGGTTTAATCCCTAATTTCTTTGATCAAATGCTCACTTCACCTTCTTTGAAATTGTATCAAATGCCTTTCTTGAAAAAAGAAACATTTTAGTTTTACTATTCAAAATTATTCATAAAAAAAGGGGGCGGGTGCAACTTAGGGCTAGCTAGCATGTTATCTTAGCACACCATCAATACATGACAAATTATGAGATTAAAACCATTTTTTTGCTCCTAACTAACTTTATAACGCATGTCGAGTGTTTTAAATAACCTTCTGTGATCTGATGTGGCTTAAATATATATTTTTGTTAGTATTCTGCACAATGATGATAAAGGCTATGTCAGTTAGCATTGCATTATTACTGTGCGTTCACACCGTCGCCTGTCCACCGCCCTGCCATCGACGCCGTGGAAAGATTCGTGGATGCTCTGACGTAGATCGAATGCTTGGTCTTTTTTAAAACTTTATTTAAAGGGGCCGCAAAGCAAACAAGCATGTCGATCGTTATTTTTGCAGACTGACCAAGTAGGGTATAAGTTAACCTCATGGAATCTTTCAAATGTGAAAGTAAGAAATTGATCGATGGAAAGAACTTAATTATAGTGACATGTTTGCTAACGAAATAAACCAATTAAAAGCCATTTGTGTGGTGTGGCTTTTGTGTTCATGGTTAAGTGCTAATCTAATTTGCATTCCCGCGAAAAACAAGCGTTCTATCCTATAAAAAAAAAAAAATCTTGCCTATAAATAGTGTTGCGCGCCGCCTTATCAAATTCAAATGATCATCCTCTCCTCTATTTTGCTTGGGAACTAATGTGGTCGGAACCAAAGTTTACAGGACTGCGTTCCCTGGAATACTCTCAAACGGAGCACTTCTAAATTCCGATTGGTTGCCGGCGAACCGCGTCATAGCAGATTACCATAAAGTTGACCTGACTTCAACTTCTCCTCACCGCTCTCGCCGGAGCTCGCCACCGGCTCTCATTGAAAATCGCCGGGCGCGGTGTGAACGCACGGTTAATATAATTGAAAATACCCGGCATGAAGAACACTGATAAACCATACATCCATACATGTTATAACGATCTCTGAAAGCTTTGTTTATTTAAAGGAGTTCTTGGAATGTCACATGATATGCCTCTTCATCACGAGTGCCATTAGTGGCCTAAATGTGCATAGAGCGCCCTCAGGCTGCCCGTATGCATTGAAAACACAGTACATTAGAGTATCCAGCGCTCCTAATGATTACATCAGTGCATTTAGGGTAAAAATGTAATAAACATTACTCCTGTATAGAAATTTGACATAAAATAATCTATCAATATTTTTTAAAATGTGCATGCTTTTGAACTAAAAGCCCTGAGGGACGTTGCTTTGTCAAGCATTTTCATGACGACTGTACAGGAGATTTTTCTCTGAATAGGAGCGGCTGATGCTCATGTTTCAAACAAAAGGTATCGACTTGTGTCAAAATTTGAAGCTTGAATCTTAGATCTTTATAATGATGTATAGTTTATCAAGGTAGTTACATTACATCTAACTGTAACTTTAAGGTCATTTAAACAAAGAACGCGTCAGTTTTCCGGCGTCCTCGTGAAGGTTAACGGGTTAATACATCTGAGATGATTTGACAGATGCCAGATCTTGAAATAGTGATAAGTTAACTGATCTCTGGCTAATTTGGTTCTTTAAACGAATTTGCGGATTGGATTAAAATATCTTGATTAAGTTGTCTGAGATTACTGTGTGTTCTTGTGTCCATTGGAATGGCCAGATATATATCGATACTCGAAACCATGAACAGCAATCCAGTGATTGGCTTGGCTGTAAGACAGCAACTTATTGACATTAAAAAAGAAAAATCATGCATGTGATGAAAAACTTTCATTTCTGGAACTTAATAAAGATACAGCCAAGCCACCTAATGACATAAAAGTTGTAACAGATAAATGAAATGTACTGTTTGCTACACGATTCCCAATTGATTCCCAATTATTTCCATTATATCACGATTTGTAGTATTTGTACAGTCTTTACATTTTATTTAAATCTTGTAATTAGTGATTTATTACATTTTACATGTGAAGCAGATTTGTTACTTGACAACAGTAATGAGTTTTTTTAAGGGTGGTGCTTAAGATAACGTTGGTCATTCAGTGTTTCTGTAAAAAAAAAACATAATTGTAGTAGATAATAGTAATAATTATTATTAAAAGATAATTATACTAATGCTAATTCTACTACTAATAATAACAATATGCAATGCACTAAGAATTGATGAGCTTCTGAATTCATGAATATTAATCAAAAAACATAATTGTAATCGATAATAGTCATAATTATTAAAAGATAATTATACTAATGCTAATTCTACTACTAATATTAACAATATGCAATGCACTAAGAATTGATGAGCTTCTGAATTCATGAATATTAATCACGTTGTCAGCGTTCGCTCGAACTGATTTGCTGAAATTAAAATAGTGATGAGCGCCAGCCAATGGGATTGCCGTTTACCTCATTAAAATACTGATATTCGGGTCTATAACTCCTCCCCAGACTTCCCGATGCACTCTATCTTGCTCTCTCATTGGCTGTAGGTCATCGCCGATGTAATTTTCAGTCAGAGCACATTTCACATATCAGGATTTTGAATATCAGAAGGGTCCAGATATTTTGCATGCCAAATATCTCACGGGCTTCGGCGACTCATCTGCGATTCTCTCAGATCGCGTCTTTGATAATTCACTTAGTGTGATTGTCACTCCTGTGAAAGAGTACCGATTTGGCTCCGATATCGACCATCTGTTGGTGATTTCGCAAAACCTGTTGGCGAGTGAAGATGGGGGCTAAAATCGTGCAGTGTGAACTCGGCATAAGGCTCTGTCCCTCTCTCTTGTTGCGTGTGTGTGAGAAACGGCGATCTCAGCAAAGCAACAGCGAGCTGTGCGCCTTCACACGTTTACGGTACGTCAAATACAGTTACTATGCGCATCCATTAAGCTGAATTGAAATATGACAGATCGCTTGACGGAGAGTGAAACTCAAGCGCTCAGACATTGTTCAGCAAGTGAAAATATATTTATGCTAAACTTATACTTCGCCTCTAACACACACACAAGTATTTATTAGCCAGTGGCTAATGATAGACATGATTTAGTCACCCAGAGGGAAGATTTAGTTGCATATGCGAGTTATTTACTCGCATTGTAGAACCCTCTACAATCATGGGGAGGGTCAACAATGAAATCCAGCTAATTGAGTAATCCACGTACAAAGAATGGGCACCTGGTGTCCACTACAGAGGACATAGCATAAAATATGAATAAAATTTTTTTTTTTAAAAAATTCTCATACAAAAAAGTTCTGGTCCTCAGGAAGATATAACGATACATCAAAAACTAGATACTAGAAGACAGTAGTAAACTAGGTTTGTGCAAAATTAAGAATGAAATTAATTTCTTTATGTTTTTCTTTTGACCTTCTTTAATTTAATTTTGGGAATTTAATGTTGATTTTAGACCCAATAGAAGTGAATGAAGACAAACGGCATCCGTTTAAAAAATCTCATCATTTCAAAGGTGAAGATGGAAATGCAGTCGTTTCAAAGACTGAAGAGAATTTCACACAAAAACAAGCTGGAAAATCTGGAGTCAAAGGATCTTTCACCTGCTCTGAGTGTGGAAAGAGTTACGTGCATAAACCAGACCTTAAGAGGCACATGAGAATTCACACTGGAGAAAATCTGTTTGCATGCACTCAGTGTGGAAAGAGTTTTATACACAAAAGAAACTTAAATGACCACATGAGGATTCACACTGGAGGAAAACCTTTCACCTGCACTCAGTGTGGAAAGAGTTTCACTTACAAAAGAAATCTCAGTGATCATCTGCACACTCACTCTGGAGTGAGATCATTCAGCTGTGATCAGTGTGATAAAACATTTGTTGTGGCATCAGGCTTAAAAACACACCTTAAAGTTCATGCTGGTGCGAAGCCTCATGTTTGCTCTTTTTGTGGAAATAGTTTTTCACTACTGAAAAATTTACAAGTTCACCAGCGTATCCATACTGGTGTGAGACCTCATGTCTGCTTTGACTGTGGGAAGAGCTATAGTACATCGAGCAACTTAAAAACACACCAGAGAATTCATACTGGAGAGAAACCGTACAAGTGCTCACACTGTGGAAAGAGTTTCTCTCAGTCAGGAGTCATGAAAGCTCATGAGAGAGTTCATACTGGAGAGAAGCCGCACCAGTGCTCTTCATGTGGGAAGAGTTTCACCTTCTCTTCTAATCTACTGAAACATAAGAAAAAGCTTTGTTGTCTAAGTGAGCGAAAACACTTGTGAAACAATGGCGGCGTCAGTCCATTAAAACTCTGAATGTTCCATGAGCTGTTCAATGAAGGCTGCGTTTACACTTGGCATTAAGATGCGATTACCATGATTCGGAGCCAATCAGGACACGGTGCGTTTACACCTGTCCACTGTATCTGTATAACAGATAACGGATCTCACATTCCCGAAAAAAAAAGGATGGCTCCGGTGCAAAGCCGACCTGAATTGGTGGGTTTTCTTTTAAAAACAGTATTTAATCGGGGTAGATTATACAAATCTGGCAAAATGAGGAGGATGAAGAAGCTGCAAGTACTAATAATGTGGATAGATTCCGTACAGAGAAACGGTACAGAGAAACGTATCCGAGCACGTTGCCATTAGGGCTGGTACAACGCGTCGACGTCATCGATGAAAAAAATACGTCGACGCAAAATATTCGCGTTGATTCGTCAGACCCAAAACAAAGACGGCGGCGCCGGAGAGTAGTAGCAACACGAGTGGCTCTTCAGACTTTCAGAAGTGCAAGGCGGCACGCACGCACAATGCATGCGAGAGATGTCGCCGTCATGTTTTTGTTTGGGCCGCAGTTCAGAGATTCCTGTCTGTTGGATTTATTACAGCACGTGAATTCAGCAGTTTATCCCGAAATACATGAAAGTAAGTGGCCGGTGAACTGGGAGGATTTATAAATGTATTGTTTTACTATAAATTATATGTATTTAAATGTCTGAAACCTAAAAGAAACAATATGTGGTTAAAAACACTGAACAGTTGTGATATAGCCTACAAGCGCTGAGCGCGTCCGTCTTTGGCTCAGCGCCAGCCATAGCGCGAAAGCACAGTTTGAATCTGGCAGGTATGTCACGTCACTGTACATTCGCTTAGTGCTCAGCTGCTGCAGAGCGTGCCGAAATCTAAATTGCTGATGAGATATAGAGGAAAATGAGAATGTTACGAAAATAAGAATGCATTACTTTGCACTTGTATAGTCTTTTATTTTGGAATTTTAAGAGCAATAAACATATATTGCAATGTTAAGGAATTCATGTTTTTTTTTCATTCAGATATGTAAATCAACATGTATAAAGTGCTATTAGTCACTTAATGGGGAGATAATCGATAATCAAATCGAATCGAAATCGAATCGGACTGGGAAAAATAAATCGTTAGATTAATCGATGCATCGAAAAAAATAATCGATGCATTTCAGTTTATTTGCGTTGTACTTCGCACTCGACTGTATCGCAAAACCACACAGCTACATGCAGCAATTCCTGGAGAGAGGAGGGGGAATAATGACAGTGGGCGGGGTTTTGTGTGACGTCCAACTGTGAATGCAGACACGATGGCTGGATTGCGTTTACATTACACTGAGATCCGATCACAATGCATCCTCGACTACCTCCGAACCGGGACACGCTGATCGGATAACATTCCAATCAGAAGCGCGTTTACACTTGTCTTTTCAATGTGTATGTGGACAACATCCGGATACAGGTTGCATGTTAATGCCAAGTGTAAACACAGCCGATGTTAGAAACTCACTCTTGAAGTGTGGTTGAAAATATATTGAAATCAGTCAAGTTTGGTCATGGGTAGTTTATGGTTGAATGGGGTTTATATGGCCAATAATGTTGTATGTAATGTACTTAATGTAACAAAACTTAAGTGACTGAATAAATAAACTTTTGTTTACATGTAACCAAAAGGGTTTTGACATTGTATACAACACTGACCAAAATTCTGCAATAGAGTTATTTAACAATGTTGATTAGGTTAAAAAATAAATTCTTGCAATAGAAAAAATTCTTTATTAATAATAAAACAGGCAGGTTTAGTGATTTGTAAAAAACAAATCAGTACACTCATAAACAGACCGTCTAGGAGAACTAGGCCTATTCCAACAAGCTCTCTCACCCTGAACACAAATTTGCTTTCTTTCGTAATATGGGCTCATATGCTTTTCTGTACATAGTGTGCTTTAATAGTAAGGTGTTTACTGAGTTTGGTCTTTTAATATCACTGTCTTAGTACATTAAGCCACATGCCACGTTAAGCATTTTCTTTATAACAGTTTTCTATGGGAGGAAAATGCTTGACACGTAATTAAACACATTGCATTTATATTCTGGACTAATCTGCTTTTCTGTACATAGTATGCTTTATTAGTATGGTGTTTACTGAGTTAGGTCTTTTAATATCACTGATTGGAGATCATGAATGATTTATCGTTTGTATAAATATGACCTTTCTTCCTTAATAAACTTGAAAATATTATGGTACCACACTGTCTCTGTGTCTGCTTGATCATTTCCTGAGATCTTGCATTGCTGCTGCCACACATCACAGGGCTTGAGGCGCCTATTTCCAACTGATGACTGATAGCTTTGAGGCTGGAGATAGTCTCCCTAAAATTAATCTAACAGATCTGGGGGCTCGTCCGGGATATTTGATAGATTTGAACTGACAGAGTGTGTCTGCTTCCCGGACAACGTTAGGAAAACTGTTCCAAAGTTTTGGTGCTAAATAGGAAAAGGATCTACCGCCAGCAGTTGATTTTGATATTCTAGGTATTATCAACTGGCCAGAATTTTGAGATTGCAATAGACGTGAAGGAATATAATGCGTTAAGAGCTCGCTCAAGTACTGGGGAGCTAAACCATTTAGTGCTTTAAAAGTAATTGGCAAATTTTCCAAATTTATACAATGTTTAATAGGGAGCCAATGCAGTGTTGACAGAACCGGGCTAATATGGTCATATTTCCTGGTTCTGGTAAGAACTCGAGCTGCTGCAGTTAGGACAAGCTGTAGTTTTTTTTTTTATTAAGCGTGCATGGCAACCACCCAGTAGAGCATTACAATAATCTAGCCTTGATGTCATGGACGCATGAACTAATTGTTCCACATTTTTAATTGAGAGCATATGACGTAATTTAGATATATTTTTAAGATGGAAAAAATATGCTTTTATAGATACTAGACACTAGGGCTGGGACAATATATCGATGCATTGCGATTCGTGCAGCGATTCCATTTTTTTTCCGAGTGCATCGCGAATCGATTCTGAGCTTAGTTTTTTAACAGCAGATGGCGCTCTAGGCTTGTTTTTAACCGCACACTTAAATGCTCACGGAGAAGAACGATCGTGGGTTCGGCTGAGTCTGAGAATGTACTTGCACCTCAGAATGCTTTTATGATGCAAGATTAATGTAAACAGCCCACTGCAAACTCTCTTGTAATTCGCTTCAAACTTTTAATTCGAACTTAATGAATGATTATTTATAGAAGGTTTAAGTGGTGTGTGTAGGAAGCCAGCGAATTATGGCTCTTTCTAGAGCACGCAGTGCCATCTGCTGTTAAAAAACTAAGCTCAGAATCGATTTGAGAGAAAATCGCAATGCATTCGAAAAAAATTGGAATCGATTCAGAATCATTTTTCGATTCACGATGCTTCGATTTATTGTCCCAGCCCTACTAGACACCTTACTTTCAAATTAAAGATTGCTATCAAAGCAATCAGCACCCAGGTTACTTACCGACGATGAAGAATTGACAGAGCAGCTATCAAGTGTTAGTAAGTATTCTAGGTTATTACGTGAGGAAGTTTTTTGTTCAATAATTAGAATCTCTATTTGTTCAGAATTAAGTAGTAGGAAGTTACTTGTCATCCAGTTTTTTATATCAGCTATGCATTCTGTTAATTTTGTGAATTGGTCGTTTCATCGGGGCGCGAACAAATATAGAGCTGAGTATCATCAGCATAACAGTGAAAACTAATGCCATGCTTCCTAATGATATCACCTAAGGGTAGCATGTACAGATTGAACAGCAACGGTCCTAGTACTGAGCCTTGTGGTACGCCATACTGAACTTGTGATCGATAAGACATATCTTCATTTACTGCTACAAACTGATAACGGTCAGATAAGTATGATTTAAACCATGCTAATGCAATTCCACTAATGCCGACATAATTTTCGAGTCTATTTAACAGAATGTTGTGGTCGATGGTATCAAATGCAGCACTAAGATCGAGTAACACTAATAGAGAGATACAACCATGATCAGATAAGAGCAAATCATTTGTGACTCTGAGAGCAGTCTCAGTACTATGATATGGTCTAAATCCTAAAGAAGAGGATCTATGATCTATGATGTTGTTATTCATTCAACATACATGTTGAATGAATAACAACCCCACACAATTGAAAATCAACCCCTTACCATAACAGCCCCTGAACAAAACTTTACACTTAGCACAATGCAGTCAGGCAAGTACCGTTCACCTGGCAACCGCCAAACCCTGCCTTGTCCATTGGATTGCCAGACAGAGAAGAGTGATTCGTCACTCCAGAGAACACATCTCCACTGCTCCAGAGTCCAGTGGCGGTGTGCTTTACGCCACTGCATCCGACGCTTTGCATTGATCTTGGTGATGTAAGGCTTGGATGCCGCTGCTCGGCCATGGAAACCCATTCCATGAAGCTCTCCACACACGGTTATTGAGCTAATCTGAAGGCCACGTGCAGTTAGAAGGTCTGTAGCTATTGACTGCAGAAAGTTGGTGATTTCTGCGCACTGTGCGCCTCAGCCTGCGCTGACCTCGCTCTGTGATTTTACATGGCCTACCCTGTGACTTGCTGTTGTTCCCAATTGCTTCCACTTTGTTATAAAACCACTAAACTATAGTTGACTGTGCCAACTATAATTCTTTCCCAGCTTGTGGAGAAAGTTTGAGCTTCATTTTAATTATTTCAAGGGTCCTTAATGTTATCAGGGATGGGACAGGGATTCTATATGTTTGTAAACATTTCAAAATGTTAAATTCCTGGAACAAAAAGCAAAATACTTTCCGTCTTTGCCTTGCAAAGTCAGGGGTGCAACTACCCAGTGTCAGAGGGGTATGCAGCAACAATTTACTACAATTTACAACTATTCTTAGCTAGTCGTAAAGTAATTTAAACCCCCATTTGGCTGCTACATTCTAGTGTTAGCAAACGCTAGCTAGTCTGATAACATGAATATTTGCAAACCTCCAAGCACAGACGTCACACTTTAAATCCTACCTGTTGCCTTTCACCATCCACTTAATTTAGCTGCTTTTCGACGACAACTCACTACTCACTACTACTCACAACAACGACCACAATTCACTCCTTCAGTCAGTGAAGCTCCCACAGCCGTTTATGAGAGTTTAAATGCTGGGGAAATATTCCCATCTTCCCACAGGAGAAGAAGAAGCAAGCAGGAGGAATTACTCCAGGAGAAACTACGGACATACTATTGTAAAGATGGAGATTAAGGAAGAACCCTGCAGAATAAAAGATGAAGATACAGAGGAACAAATAGGTTGGTGTTTTCCTTCATTCTCTTTAATGACTGATGAGGAACTTTAAGATGAAAACTGACATAACAATGCATCTAAAACTAGGTAGTAAACTAGATTTGTTCTAAATTATGAGTAAACTTTATTTCCTTGTTTCTCAATATGTTGATTTTAGACCCGATGGAAGTGAATGAAGAAAAACACCATTTCACAAATGAAGATGGAAAACTGACATATACAAATGAAGACGAACATCCGTTTGAAAAACCGCATAATTTCAAAAATGATAATGAAAACACAGTCTTTTCAAAGACTGAAGAGAATTTCACAAAAAAACAAGCTGAAAAATCTGGAGTCAAAGTATATTTAACCTGCTCTGAGTGTGGAAAGATTTTCATATATAAATCACACCTTGAAAGACACATGAAAATTCACACTGGAGAAAAAACGTTCACATGCACTCAGTGTGGAAAGAGTTTTATATATAAATCACATCTTGAAAGACACATGAAAATTCACACAGGCGAAAAACCTTTCACATGCTCTCAGTGTGGAAAGGGTTTCAGTCAGAATAGCTCTCTCAATGATCATCTGCACTCTCACTCTGGAGTGAAGTCGTTCAGCTGTGATCAGTGTGATAAAACATTTGTTTATTCATCAAATTTAAAAAGACACCTTAATGTTCATGCTGATGTGAAGCCTTACTTTTGTTCTTTATGTGAAAAGAGTTTTTTACGACTGCAACATTTAAAAGTGCATGAGCGTATTCATACTGGTGTGAGACCTTATATGTGCTCTGACTGTGGACAGAGCTTTAATACATCCAGTGCCTTAAAATCACATAAGAGAGTTCATACTGGAGAGAAACCGTACAAGTGTTCACACTGTGGAAAGAGTTTCTCTCAAATGAAATCCTTGAAAGTTCATGAGAGAGTTCATACTGGAGAGAAACCGTACAAGTGCTCTTCGTGTGGGAAGTGTTTCGTCCAAATATCTAATCTACGGTATCATGAGAAAATGCATTGTCTGAAGTTGCCTAAATGAGCAAATGCTCATCTTCAGATCCATCATTCACAAATAATACACATACAAGTAATAATTTAACATTCAGATTCAGCAAAAGCTGGAATTTGTTTCAATAGTGATTTAATCTAAAAAGGAAATTTGCTCAAATTAGTTTGATCATTTGTGAAATTAATTTTTCTCAGGGTCATTAATAGTTCATGAAACTAGTGTTGCTGTAAAATGTTGTGATTTATGAAGAGATGTTTTTTTCTTTGAGTTCAATTATTTTCATTAATTATGCTTGAGCACAAATAGAAATGATGCATTGAGAACATATTGAATAGACTTTCTTGCATTTAAATATATATATATTTTTTACATTTAAAGAAAAGCTCTGTATATTTTGAGACAAAGAGAAAAAGGAACAGAAATTGTGTGACTTACTAAATAAATGTACTCACAATCAAGAGGGTTGTCGTGTCTTTTCTTCCTTAACAAGCAGTAGTGACCACTAACGACTTGAATTAAAATAAAACAACCTGTTTACTGAAGTTTATGAACAGGATTACACATAGACAGCGCACACACATGGAGTCAATCTCATTTCTCTTCTCTCTCTTTTTCTATCTGCTCGCTCTCGCCACTATGCATTATGGGTAGACTTTTCTTAAAGCTGAACAACCTTTAATTTATTTAACATTTCTATTCTAATTAATTCACAACAGCCTCCCCCCATGAACAAATGTTCATCAACTTAAATCTCTAATGCATAAAGCAATTGAATGGGTCTCTTTAACACAGTCACTGTGGATGTGCGAACAGCACAGGGTCTAACTTTGCCATCTCGGCCTGGAAACAGCTCTTCAATTTTTCCTAACTTCCAGGTTTGTCTTGGCATGTTGGCATCTCCTATGAGAACAATGTCACCCATCTTCAACTCAGTAGGTTTCTGTGTGTTGCAGAAATGTGCAGATTTCAGGTCCAGTAGATAGTCTTTCCTCCAGCGATTCCACAGGTTGGTTTTGAGTCGGTTCCTGTATCTCCACCTTTTTGTCATATCCTCTTTACTCACAGTGGGATGATCATAGTCTGCCGGAATTGGTTTTGGAGGCAGTGAAGTGAGTCGTTCACCAACCAAGAAGTGTGCTGGTGTTAGTGGCTCCGGCTCGTCAAGCTCATTGTGGACAAAGGTGAGGGGTCTGGAATTCAGTGTGGCCTCTACTTCTGCAAGGAGTGTAGACATTTCTCAAAGCGATGCCTTTCCTAGCACCTTCCTCGTTTTCACAGATCTTACAAGCCTCTCCCAAAATCCACCTCACCAGGCTGCTCGTTCTACAATTGATGTTTTATTAACAAGGTTCGGGAGGAACACGTTCTAATGATCAAACAATCAAGTCATTCCAGCCAGCTGTCAGCAATCAGTAATCAACAGGTCCACTCAATCAGCACGAGTAAAGCCTATAAATATACTCAGTCGACTCACCCATATTCCTCGACAGTTTTCAGCATTTGGTTTACCGCTTTGCTACGATGTCCCAAATGCAGTTTTCACCATCCGATGACGAGCTTAACCATGCTCCGGTTCCTCCGCCGCCATCAGCTGGCCCCAGGACAACCTCTCCACCGGATACCGCCTCCGAGCCCCACGTTTCATCTCGCGGGCGCCGGTCTGCGCAAGCAACCCCTCGCACGCCAAGACGCCGAGGTTTACAAACACCTCCACCGGCGAGGACTCCAGCTTCCTCCCCGGCATCCTCCTATCGTTCGGCCGTACCAACGATTCCGCCTATTGGGAAGTGGACAGTCTTGAGTCTGAGACAAGCGCTGATAAACTCTGATATTCAGCCCTCGCGCAGGATGACTAAAGCGCAACTATACAACTTATACGTTACCTTGCAATCATCAAATCTCTCTCCTAAATCCACCCCAGGTTCCAAGGCGGCCAGCAGGCCGGGAAAATCTTGTGAGGCCCCGAATTCGCCTCGCCCGACTCCGCCACCTTCCCGTGCAAGATTCGGTTTGCCGCACGCTTCAGCCCGCGGCGCCAGGATTTCTGCGAGCCTGGGTCGCGCTCCAGATTCCACCGCCACGAGACCTCACTCGCCTCCCGCTTCAGCTGAGCTTTTCAGCATGGCGCTTCCCGCCGCAGTGCCATACACAGCTGGGCCCGCCGGGTCACCCTCTGCCTCCCAGTGTTTTCCTCCTGCTGTTTCTAACTCTTTTCCTCTGCAGTGGCCTCCGGCTCCCATAGCAGACGCTAGCGTGAGGCTGCCTCCGCTAGCGGTGCAGGCTCAAACTTTCCACCACCTTCCCGCGACTACTGCTAACCCCTCCCATTTTCAGTGGCCTGCAGCTCAAGCAAGTGCGAGACCGCCTCCGCCTGCAACACAGGCTCAGGCATCTCATTTATTTCCTCCTTTTCCCCCTTATGCTTTTCTCAATTTTCCTTCTCAAGCCCCACAGGCCGACTTAAGCGTGAGGCTGCCTCCGCCGATAGTCGCAGCCCAGGCTTCTCTCCCTTACAGCTCTCTCTTAAATGCCAAATCACAATATTCTCTTTTCACAGCTACCCCGATGCCAGTCCCACCAAACGCTGTCGCTCTGGAGCCTCCCCCAGTGACTCAAAACATCCGAGCACAGATTCTGGCAGGTGCGGATGTAGACCTTTCACATTTACTTTCTCTGCTTCCCGTATCCGATTCTAACCGTCAGTTAGACTGCGGGGATTTTTCAGTCACTTTAAAAAACCAGAATACACATTCATCACGTTTACTTTCTTTTTCGGAGTTTTCAATCGCTTTCAGCCACTTCACAGAAATCATTTGCCCCGCCTTCCCTCATAGGCGACGCGAACTGAACGACTATTTAGCGCTGATAGCCGAGCTCGCGTTGTCCTACGGGGGAGGGCACTTTTACACATATCACAAACTCTTCTCAGCAAAATGCGCTGTTAGGGTTTCACAGTGGAACCAATGCCCATACTGGGGAGCACTAGACACTGACCTGCACAGCAGAGTTTTCCTTGGCTGCAGGAATATTTCTTGCGCGGTCTGCAGGTCAGTGGCACATTCCACAATATCGTGCCCTCAAGTTAACCCCTCCGTTCCTCCATGCCCGGAAACGGGACCAGTCAAATCCACCAGCTACACACCAAGACCGGCGACTAGCAACCCATATCCACACGAGGCTAATTTCCGCTCCAGAGCACTTACGGACAGCAAACAGCCTTGCAACAATTTTAATATCGGCAAGTGCACCAGGCAGCGTTGTCGGTACTTGCACATATGCAGCTTCTGTGGCGGTGCTCATGCCCGTCCTGTATGCCCTGTCTTTGAAGATGTCAATAAAAAATCTAAAAATTATTTATCGACTCCCGTGAATATTTCTCGCCTTTCTATCGAACTAGCTCACCACCCGGACTCTGACTTCACTGAATATCTGCTGTCTGGCCTACAACACGGTTTTAAACCGGGAGTGGTTTGTCCGCTCTCCCAAAACATAATCTGCGATAATCTCCAATCGGCTCTCGCCGAGCCCAACGTGGTAGACAACCTGATTAAAAAAGAAGTCGAGTCAGGCTTCATGATTGGCCCTTTTGACGAGCCTCCTTTCAAAGTTTTTCGCATTAGCCCCATTGGAGTGGCTACGAGAAAGTTTTCAGGTAAGAAACGCCTCATAGTCGATCTGTCAGCTCCACATAAATCCCTGTTCCCAAGCATTAACAGCCTGATCCCACTCGACGAATTTTCTCTCAAATATCACGACGTAGATCACGCAGTCGACCTCATAAAAATCGTGGGTTGGGGTGCCTGGCTCGCAAAAATTGACATCACTTCGGCTTTTAAAGTGATGCCCATCCACCCGGATTCATGGCACTTATTCGGAGTGCGCTGGCATGGGAAATTCTATTTCGCCGTACGCTTAACTTTTGGATGCAAAAGCAGCCCCAAAATTTTTGACATGCTATCTGAAGCCATTTGCTGGATCTTGTTAAACAATTACGCAATTCCTCACCTCATTCACCTGCTGGACGATTTTCTAATAATTTCGCCTCCCGGCGCCATTCCAGCAGCCCAGATCCTCACAGTTCAAAGAGTATTTGCCGAGCTCGGAATTCCCATCGCCCAGGAAAAAACCATGGGTCCCGCCTAGGGGTGGAACGGTACATGTATTCGTACCGAACCGAAACGGTACGGGCGTCACGGTTCGGTGCACGAATTTACACGGAGAATACACGGTATAAAAATAAATAAAACTCGCGTAAAAATTAATTAATGTAATGCGGAACTACTGTTAGATACGCGGGTTCTTTAGGGACACATAATCTGTACCATCGGCTTAGCTCTGAACGCGCGTTCACTTCAAACGTTGGCTTTATACGCGCGTCATATTCGCTTTGGACTAGCGTCGAACTAGACGCGATAGACGCGAATTTAACGCTCTATTCGGGTTTGGTGTGACCGCATAATGAACAGGCTGCGATGTCAAGATTGCAATGCTGGAGTGTGTGTGTGTGAGAGAGAGAGAGGCGCGGCCGCGATTGAACAGTGGAAACATAAAAAACATACTCCGTCATTTTGTTCATACAGATCATTAAACCTGCAAAGTGTTTACTTATATTTGTGTACACTCGCAATAAAACACAACATTGTGCTTTTGTCACACTGTAAACTCTTGTCAAACTGTAACCTACAACTGTCACCCAACCAAAATCTCTCTCTCTCTCTCTCTCTCTCTCTCTCTCTCTCTCTCTCTCTCTCTCTCTCTCTCTCTCTCTCTCTCTCTCTCTCTCTCTCTCTCTCTCTCTCTCTCTCTCTCTCTCTCTCTCCTCTCTCTCTCTCTCTCTCTCTCTCTCTCTCTCTCACACACACACACACACACACACACACTGTTTTAAAAGCAAAACATATTTATCCAACTACATTTCAAAACAGTCTGTGGGTCCCATCTTTTGGACATTCATCGCATTGGTTTTCATTTCTTGTCCTCGGAGCACTAATCTTACACATTCTACATTGATTAAAAAAGAAAATCGAATGCGTTATTAATGGTAGTATTATTTTATACAGAAATCAATTATTTATAATTCAGATGAGAATAATGTTACATTGTTAATTAATAATGTTAATTAAAATTAAGGAAAACAAATATATTTATCTGAAATATAGCAAATTAATTTTAAATTAATTCAGGTACAATTACCAAACATATCGCAAGGTCTTTTTGT